GGACCTCACAGATCCGCCACCAACCATCGAAGGATCATCGTCGAGTTCGAGTCGAGGGACGAAACGATCGATCGAATCGGCTGATGCCGATGTTGAACCGGTTGAGAAACGCCCCCATGAGATGGAAGAAGATCTGTTAGTTGAGAGTGCCACTTTTGCCATGGATGAGATTGGTGTTTGTTCGGTAGAGCTCCTTCAAAGCCACTCTATGGGTGACGTTCATGATGGTCTCGACCGTAGTGCCAAACAAGAACTGGTGTCTTTGTTTCAACAGGGGATGCCTTGTGAAGTGCTTGTTGCCACATACATGCAAAAGAAAGCCGCAAAAGAAATTCCGGTAACCGGTAACCCTCCGGAGATTCAGAAGAAAGTAGATGAAGCCAAGCTGTTGGAATGGAACACCATTGAAGGAAAGCATGCTGGTCGGGTAGTGCTTGGTACTGAGGCTGATGACGTTCGTAGGTACCTGAGCCATCGCATCATGGGTAGTCGGTATGTGATGACCTTGAAAGTTGAAGACGATGCCGCCCCTCGCTTCAAAGCTCGTTGGTGCCTTCAGGGCCATTTGGACCCAGACCTCACAGCCAAGGCTGAGCTTGGAGACCTCCAGAGTCCCACACTGTCCCAGGTTGGTCGTAACTTGATTTTCCAATTGTTGGCCAGCCACCAATGGGAGATGCAGTTGGGGGATATAAAAGGGGCATTCCTGTCTGCCGGGAACCTCCCCCAACGTTACAAGCCGCTGTACGCCTCTTTGCCAAAAGGGGGTATCCCTGGCATCCCAGATGGAGCCTTGATAGAAGTGTTGGGACATGTGTACGGATTGAATGACTCTCCAGCTGCCTGGTATAAGAAGTTGAGTCACGAATTGATTGCAATCGGTTTCGAGCGGTCTCGTTTCGATTCATGTCTTTTCTACTTTCGGGAAAACGGAAAACTGACAGGAATCTATGGTGTTCATGTGGACGATTGTGTGACAGGAGGGTGTGGTGCTGGCTATAGAAAGGCCATCGCTCAGCTGAAACAGACTTTTGAGTTTCGCAAGTGGCGTACTCAGAATGGTGATTTCTGTGGTGCACAATATGTTCAAGACCCAAAGACCTTCGAAATCATCATGAAGCAAGAAAGGTTTGTTCAGAAGGTAAAACCCCTGCACATGTCCCGTGATCGATCACGAACCCGTGAAGCCTTGTTGAATGAAAAAGAGGTAAGTTGTTTGAGAGCTATCAATGGAAGCCTTAACTGGCTATCGACGCAATCAAGACCCGACTTGTCAACTCAAGTATCATTCTCACAGCAATCATTCCCACGACCGACAGTGAATGATGCTATTGCAGCAAACCATGCCGTAAGACGGGCCCGTCAACGCGCAGATTTAGCCATTAGGTTCAGCCACATCCCACCGTCTGAATTGGGTCTCATGTGTCACTCGGATGCCGCTTTCGCTAACGGCCGATCGGGTTCCACCCAAGCTGGTTTTATGGTTAGTTTTGTTCATCAAGGGATCAACTCAGGTCTTGATAGTCCTTGGACTCCGGCTTACTGGAAAAGCCACAGGTTGCCAAGGGTTGTCAGCTCAACCCTGAGCGCTGAAGCCCAGAGTATGGCCACTGCATCGAGTATGCTAGAGTGGACTAACCTTTTGCTGTCGGAGGCCCTGGACGGTCCCCGCTTTGCGCATAGCTTGTGGAACGGAGTCGATCACAGATTGACCATGCTGATCACCGACTGCAAATCTCTCTATGACCACCTGATCTCAAATTCTTCCCCTACCTTGGACGACCGGCGAACGGCCATAGATATTGTGATCTTGAGGGATTGTGTTTTTCGGACAAAGTCTCAGCTTCGATGGATCCCCACAGACAGAATGCTAGCCGACGGACTCACGAAGGAAAGCCCGGAGGCCCTAGACCTCATTCGTGCTTGTCTCCGTACCGCACGCTACCAGATAAGTCCTGAAAATCTGGTTTTGGAACGCCGAGCACAAGAGAGGGATCGTCGAAAACAGTTTGCATCGAAGGGTCCACCTCCTCTTGCCGAGGAAACCAAGGAGGAAAACTCTGCACAATAGCACTGAATCGAGCATTGCTTGTTTTGGGGAAGAGTGTGAACACTCGGTAGTCAATGCATAGGGGATTCGTGTGTTTTCTTGTGTGAGCTAGTTCACTTCTTAAGCCGCCTTGCGAAGTCTCCACACACACGTTCGTTTTTGTTTTCCTGTACAGTCATTAGCCCTGCATCTTGAGACACGCACTTGTTTTTGCCAACCTCCATTTTGGGGTTATGTGTTGATGCCGCTTGTCAGCAGGTGATCAAATGATCATCGTTAGGTGTTCGAAGTGTTCAGTGGCTGAGTTGCCACTGTGAGAGCCCGTAGCTATGGCCATGAAGAGCGACAAAGTGTTCCTTCCTCAGGAGCACGATGAATGTGCCCGCCTCATCCTGAAGGCTCGACGCCTTGGAGCTTGGAAGTCCGTGTGGCAACAGGTGATTGACACTGAGGACTTGATCCATGATGGACCTGAGCCTACCAATCGCTCCCCCTCTGGAACGATGTCGGACGGGAGTAAGAGGCTCCGTGATGAGCATCACCATGGCTATGCCTCCGCTGGAACACCCTACCATGCCGGCTTGGAGAATGAATTGCCTGGTCCAATGCCCTCCTCGAGCGGGGGAAAGAACAAGATCATGGTGCCGGATGCTTTGCTTCCTCCAGGGATTAGTTCCTTGGATCAGTGGGGGCAATGCTACATGTCCTTCGGAAAGTTTAAGGATGTCAAGACCTATCGTGAGGTCTTTGAGAGCAAGGACGAGTCCATGGCAGGATACCGCAAGTTCTGCATTAGCCACTGCGAGAGTGGCTTGGCCGGCCTCAAGGATTTTGTTCACTACATGAACAGCCGCGGAATCGAAGATCCGGACCAGACTGTCATCCCTGGCAGCGGCATTCGACGTTCTTTTAAAAAGTAAAAGGAATGTTGATTTCGACTGTGCCGTGTCGATCGTGGAACGATCATCGCATGTCGCAGGGACTTTAATGCCCGAGCGTATGAGGAGAAAAGGCCTGCGTGGACCGCAGGGAAGGCTGGGCTACCAACATATATATATATGGTGTGCTGTAGTTGTGCAGTGCATGCATGGTTTGAGGAACTTAGTGAGATGCTTCTGCACATGCTTCTGCACAGCACTGGCATGCACTGGCTGCACTTGCTGAGGATGTCCTACCTGATTGGACTCAATGCTTCGAACCAGTTGGAGTTCAATGAGTTTGAGCGGAGCTGAGAGGTTTTTCTGAGTGTTTTTTCTGTTGACTCGGAAGTGCAGAGCCGTACTGGCCAACCTGAGGACCAGCGCCCTGTCTGCAGACGATGATGAGTGATGAGTGACTGAAGACACGAATTTTGGAGAAAACGCAGCACCACTATGCTGGTGGTAACTAAGGATCAGAGGTATACACCACCGGGGCACGCTTGCCTTAGAGAATGGATGGCTACAAGGAGAGCTTGTCAACCAGGAACGACGCCATGTTGGAACGATTCGAAGCTCGTCGAAGCGAGGAAGGAACGACCGCTTTCTCTCCGCTTTCCTTGTCGTTTTCCTCGTTTTCACTAAGGACTCAAGTACGATCCAGTGCGGTCAGTGATGGTTTCTCAATGCCACTTGGATAATTAGAATAATTTGCAGCGAGAAGCTACTAGGAGCAAAGGGCATCGCTACTAGGAGCAAGGACGCTACGAACGGGGCTCCTGGCATCGCTACTAGTAACAAGGGCATTAGTACTAGTAGCAAGAAGCTACTTGATTGAACCCTGCGGCTTACGCCGTCAGGTTGTCCGCCTTCGGGCCACTGGACGGTGGAAACGCTGGCCCAACGTGACGGAGGTGACGGAGGGCCAGCCGAAGGTCCTCAAAGCCACTTGTAACAAAGAGCAGCCAAGACAGCTGGAAGTTATCTATGATTATTCCAGGGAGTGTAAGATATTATATTACATTATACAGAATTATATACATTGTATACATGGATTGTTCTCTGCTTCGTGGCTTTTTCCCTGGTCCAGAGTCAAGATTGGATCTGGACAGAACCAAGGTAGTCTTAATCTTACACACTATATTGTGTTTGCAACGTTGCTCGTTGGTGGTCGCTCGGCAAAGAAGGAACAATTTTGGAAATTGTCAATGATTTTAGATGCCACTGCTGTAGAATAACCGGAAGAAATACTTCCATTGATTTCCATTGCTATTTTTGAGCTTTGGTCTCCATTGATTTGGGAAAAAAATATTCTTACACTTGCTGGATATTACTGGATCTTGCTGGTGGCATAGTTCTTGAAGAGATTCCCATGTTTGAACTAGGCTGTCAATATTTTCCAATTCTTTGATTTCTAGGATTGGTCTTCCTGGAGGATCAACAACACCAGCTCCACCGGATGGTCAAGGATGCTATACAACGCCTCAAGACCTTTAAACATGTAGCAATGTAGCAACTGATTGTACAAGTCCCAGCACTGTGATGTCCTTTTCGTACAAGAGTCTTCCGAAGGCCCTTGTCATGGTCAACCTGAGTCAACGTGCAACATTGTGGTAACAAGAAGCTACTAGGGGCTCCTGGCCTTACTACTAGGAGCAAGGACACTACTAGGGGCTCTGGCCTTACTATTAGGAACAAGAAAGCTACTATGGTCTTTTCGTTTTTGTTAAGCTGCGACAGAATCAACGCAGTCGGCCGACGGACGGAAGGGGGATGTTTCTACGCAGGACACTTGGGCATCTTGGCGACTTGGACTGCACCGAGGAGCGAAGAGAAAATCGCTTTGCGTGGAAAAAGCCATGAGTTGGAAAGCTGAGGCAAAGCGACGAGAAGAGCGAGTGAAAAACAGTTTGCTCAAAAGAGTTTGCAAGAGCGCAATATATATATATTCTGTATTTGCTTCAATTGGACACTAGTTCTTATCCAAGAGTTCTTGCTCTTTCGGTCACGCTGTTTCTGCCAGTGCTGCCCAGGATACCTTGGGCACCAAAGTTCGGGATCCGAATTTGGAGACGAAAGGACCAAAGGAACTACAAAAGGACCTTGAATACCCCAAGCTGATGGGAACACCCAGTCTTTGAGTAGAAATAAGATGAAGTAAGTATTGTATTCGGTCAATTGCTTCCTACAGGCTCAGGAAAATTCACCACATGTCACCATAAAACCATGAAAACACCTTCGACCGACCTGTTAGTCGACCTCGGACGGGTAGAGTGGGAGCCAGCAGCCCTTTGGGCTTGTCCATTCAACGAGACCCCTCGAGACGAATTGTGCCGTTCACTCCCGAGGCAGTGGTCGGCTTTGAGGACGAGAGGCCCAAATACAGTACCAAGTGTTTGTCTTCACAAGTTTCACGATGATGCACACGATCACTAGGAAGGAGATCTCACCTGGATCTTCAGGTTTATTTGTCGTATGATTTGTTTCCCGGAGGCATTTCTTAGAAAAAGCGCTGCAGCCCACGAACATGCTGGCCCAAGGGTTGCAAACAAGTGCTCAAAATGAGTTGGACCGGAGAAAGACTTTGGGAGGGCTTCCATTTCTCACCACAAAAAGACACCGTTTTTGGGAAAAGATGCCGTGAAGGCAGGTATTTTCTGTTTGTGCTGCTTCGCGGGGGTAACATGATGCACTGCTGTCTTGCAGGCTAGCAGAGGGAGACAGGCGGAAGCTTTTGACCGCAGACTGTGGATTCGAAAGCGTTTTCGTTTTTTTTGTGTATGTTTTTGCGTTTTGGGCACGAAACGCGGACGCACGAAGGAATCCGGGGAACGCCCGGGCTCGGCCTGCTTGGAGCCTGAAGGTGGGGGGCTGATCGGAGCAGATGAGCGTCGGGCGATGCGGCGACGAGAACTCTGATATTGGAGGTGGTTGCTACTTTACCAAGAACAATAAGACAAGAATACTGCTTTTGGGAGGTTTTCCGGTGTGTAAGAAGTGGCTCATGCATGCTCATGGCCGTTCTGTGAGGCTGGTGGTGCTGAAGGTGCCACAGAAGATGGTGGCCGCAGTATCCCCAGATGGTGTCTCATGTTGTTGCTTGCGCACAGACGCAAAGCGAACACTCGCCACATGAAAAAAGGCATAGTATGTTCATAGTTACAACGAACAGTATCTTAAAGATGGACAAAGATGAACAGCATCCTATCTTCTCAAGCTGAGAGCTACTTCTTCCTCTTTGGCACGAGATCAAGAAGAGACTCAGAATATATCTTGAGGTGACGCTCCTTCGGGCAGGTTGGGCCCGATAGCCAGTTTTGAGGGACGTAGAGTGAGATGAGGAAGAAGCCGCTTTAAAGTGAGTGGACAAGCTTCCAAGTTCAGATTCGCTTCTCGCTTTGAATTCCAAGCCTGGTTTTCCATGGAGAAACAATGAGAAGTCGAGCAAGCTCGGATGTCACTTCGAAGTGACGAGGCTTAGCGACTTCGTGCGACTTTCTTTTTCAGGCTGACACCTGGCGAGTGTGATCAGCTGATTTCGGTCCTTGAATCGATCCAGGAAAGCTTTCAGGTGGGTGCAGAGCATCTCGCAGAACATCTCGCAGAATCCCAGATCTGACTCAGCAATGAGTAGGGTTTCGATCGGACTTGCCAATGAGCGCAAACTGCACAGGGTGGCGGCTTCGAAGCGGCAGCGAAGCACGGGCCCTAGCTTCGATTTGTTTTGATTTGGATCAGGAGTGAGTTCTTGGGTTGAACGCAGCTTGCAAGAAACTGCTAAGTTTTTGCAAGTTTTTGCTCAATCGTGTAAAGACATGCCAGGCTTGGTGCTGCTGCGTCTGTCGCAAGCTTGGAGAAGCATTCTGATTGTGTGAAGATGCAGTAGACATTTTGAGTCCGAAATGTCTTCCGATGTCTTCCGTGAAGGTCTTGCTTGGAAATGGCAAAGGCTGGAGTGAGATCTGTGTGTCTTGGACATGTGGACGTGTCCAACGACCTCTTTGACCAGGCAGCGGAGATGCTCGCTTCTTAGAGCGAATTGCAAGGCCAGAAGTTTTGCGGTACTTATGGGGCCAGGGTGAAAGACTTGTGTTTTTATATGGTTTTGCACGCAATGAAGAGGGCTAGGCCATTGATGGTCTTTTTGTTTCATCAGGCTCTCAGCGAGCGACCGAAACGCTTTGCTGTCGACGATCACGGATGTGCACCAGAAGCTGAATGTCCCTGGCACAGAAAGCCAAGAAAATGAATCAACATGTCTACATGTTCTCCAGGCACCATGTATTTACATGGTCTGACATGTTTGTTATCGACATCCCAAATCTATCGAATTGTTCACCGACTTTAGCAGCAAACTCGCCGAATGTAGCTTCATGGTCCGGGTTTACAGGCTGGCAATGCTGACGCAGAGTCATTGCGAAAGCAGCAATCCCAGTGACATCCAGTGACTCAAGAAAGTTCAATTGATTCCCAAGTTGTCTTGCTGCAAAAGCCAGATGTTGATGTGGCTGAGGTTAGAAAAGATTTTCTCCGCAGTGGTCCTGCCGCCTGATTTGAGAAGGGCAATCAGCGGATGCAGTCTAACGGGTTACAGTCGCAGTTATTGTCAATTTTCCTCATGACATGGCAGGGCTTGGAGCAAGGACCTTAGTTGGGGATTGCATTTGTGACGGGAGATATACCCCGATCCACAAGGTGGCAACCTGGACCTGGGATGCTCGAGCAGGAGCGGCGAAAACCGACTTGTCTGACGGCACGTGCCTTTCTGGAAGATGTTTCAACGTCATGTGCAAGTGAAGCATGGTCAACAGATTGTGGGATGACGCTTGGAGCGAATTTTTTGATTTAGAGAGGCGATTTAGAGAGGCTCTTCCTCACCAGCCTTTTGGCTGTCAGGACTTCGAGGAAGCTCTGGCAACGGCTCAGAAGAGAATGGGACGCTTGGAGGCCATGTTTCAGTGTTTCCCGGTCAGAAGAGTTATGAAACAAACATGAAGCTTCCACGGAACGCGAATGGGTCTTCTCGTGAAAAGGATCCAAGTTCAGAGAAGACCATTCTGTTGACTTCAATAGTTTTTGTGTTCTATTTTTCTCCTTCTCAGAGGAGCGCCTGGAACTTCAGCGAGAGGGCTTGCAGCGGTGGAGACGCAAAAGTGTTCAGGCCGGCGCAAACTCCTTTGCGAGGTCAGTCAGCATCGGTCAACCACAATATTTTGATGAACAACTTTATAGTTTGCTAGTAGGTTGGAGGCCATCGCTACTAGGTTGGAGGCCATTGCTATTAGGTTGGAGGCCATCGCTGCTAGGAAGAAAGATCTCGTTGTTGTGAAAGGGCCTGGAGGGACCTTGTTGTGAAGCTTTGCTACCTTCTCATTTGTGCACCAAAAATCAGGCAGCGCCTGTGCTTGCTGGGCACTCCCTCTTACATCAGAGCAACTTGGGCCATATCAAGCTGTGCATCGTGGGTAGAGGTTCAGTAGAGCTTCGTCCCATCAGCAGGTCTCGAGAAGCCTCGGATTTGATCTCTCCTGCTCCACTCAGGTATGCTGGAGGCTTCAGCCCGAGAACGCAACAAGTGCTGGGCAGAATGCGAGAGGCTGCAGGCGGGCTGAAGTGGAAAGACGATGTGACACACGGCAACACATGGTCACAGAAGGAGGTGTGATGATGACGATGACGATGACGATGACGATGACGATGACGATGAGGACGAGGACGAGGACGAGGACGAGGACGTGGACGAGGACGAGGACGATGACGATGAGGATGATGATGATGATGATGATGATGAGGATGAGGATGAGGAGGAGGAGGAGGAGGATGATGATGATGATGATGAGGATGAGGATGAGGAGGATGAGGATGAGGAGGATGAGGATGAGGAGGATGAGGATGAGGATGAGGATGATGCTGCTGCTGCTGATGAGGAGGAGAGGATGAGGAGGACGATGACGATGACAATGACGATGACGACGGTGACGGCGACGATGACGACCACTTGAATTCCAGTTTCACAACGAACTGGAGGAGGCTGACGACGGAGAGCCAGGCCCAGGTGTTGATAACAGTTGCAGGCTTTGGCAGAACCGGAGCGAGAGCCGGCGTGCCAACAACTTTTTGAGTCTCGGCTGCAAAGATCCTCCGATGTCGTTTTGGTTTGGTTTTTCTCCCTGGTGACGTCGATGACTTATCTAGGAAATTCTGGAATTTAGGCCATTTAAGCTTCTCAGATTGCAGTCAAACCTCACCTGTGGCAGACAGGGTATCGCCACACAAGGCCATCGAATGTCCCCAGGTGCAGTGCAGCGGACTGCAGCAGCTCTGGAAGAACTGTGAAGATTCTTCAGAGCGCATGAGCCAAGGACTTCAGAAGGCTGGAAACAGGGAGGAACCATCGACTGACAAACCACCCAATCGACTGACGCTTCCTGAATGTCCACAAGGGTGGACCATAAGTAAGTGTCTTCCTTCTGCGGGAGTGTATTGTTTTGGCGGCCCGGTGAAAGACTGTCAGTGCGGTCGATTTCCAAGCATCCAGGGAGCATGACATAGCATGGCCAAGCGTGCAAGAACTCTGAAAGACTGAGTAAGACTTGGTATGTGCATACTGCCTGTAGGCCTGTAGACAAAGTGAAGTAGAAGGAGCATGAAGAAGCTGGGCTGGGTTCATCAATAATTCATCAACAACTGACTTATGTACTCGTAGATATAATTTATGATCTACAGTATATGTCTATTATATCTGTGTTAATCCTTCACTTCAGGTCATTCGTTGAAGTAACGAAAATATTCAACTCTTTTCAGTCGCAGGCGGCCGATGACAACCCCAACACTGGTGCCTTGCTATCGGCCATGGATGGGGCCTTGCAGGCTGCGTTGGATGCCAACAGCCCAAGGCCGTTGGACATCGGGGCAGATTGGAAGATTTTCCGACAAAGTGACCGAGCATTTGCATCTTTTGCATTCTTTTGCCAAGCTTCAACATCATGTCCTATGATCCAAAATGGATTCATTTACAGTATCAACATTGGTTCATTTAGATTGTCCCTACATATTTTCATTGGTAGCTTTCACTATTTTCACTGTCACTAAATCACATCGGTCTCAGAGTCATTGTAAGAAGAGCCACTTGCGGAGAGGCACGTGCTGTTGCGTGCTGCCTTGCAGCGGCTGGCTCGTTTGGATGACCAACTGGAGCAACAGCGTGCAGCTTTGGGGGCGCGTGGCAGGCATGGCGTGTCATTGGATTTGCTTTAGGACTTTGAGCAAAAGCCAGCGCTTGTGTTCAATTGGTTTTGCCTGGCAACGTCTCTGCAGGCGACGGAAGAACCGGGCCGGGCCGATTCTCCCGGACGAGACGCTTGCTGCTTTTGTGGAGGAGGAACAAGAAGCCTTGACCCTGTTGGCGGTGGCTTGGCCCATGTTTCATCAAGCACAATTCAACTTCTTATATATAAGATTATATAAGATATTCAATTTTCTTTCTTCCTTGAGACTGTTCATGACTTTTCTTTGGTTTTATGTTTCTTCTCCTGTCGCATGGTCCATGATGGTTCTTATATGTCCTTACGGTTGTGTACTAGGACAGTGTAGTCTTCTTGTGTGCAGTTGGCCAACATGGTGAGTTGGTCACTGGGGTCCCCAAGTCGGCACGGGGCATGAAGCACCTCACCCAGGACACCAGAGATCTGTTGGAGCCGGAGGCTTGGCAGGAGATGTACGACGCTTGGCGCGCCCAGGTGACTTCTGGATTAGAACAATTGGCTGCCTTGGGCATCACAGTGGCTGGCAGTGGATCAGATAGCTCGCCAAAAAAGAACCAAAGTGAAGCAATGGTTGATCCAGCAGAAGCGATGGCAGAAGGCCGTCGACGCAGCTCGGTTGGTAAAGCTGCACAGCCGGACCTTGAAATTGTTGAGGACAGGATTGTGAGACTTCATCCTGAACCAAGATACACCTGCTAGGTGAGCAGAAATGGGAATTAAACACCCATGTCTTGACCACCCTCGTCATTTTAGGGTCTAGATTCCTGGCCGGACGATTCGGCGTTGTTCTGCTTGATTGATGGTCCAGCGAGGCCTTCGGCAGCTTGAAGACGAGTATGCCAAGCGGAACCGGGAGGCGCAAAGCGATGATAGAATTGAATAAAGAGAACTAGACTAAAACTTAAAAAGATTGCTGGGTTGGGGCATACCCGTCGTGCACTCACTAACTAACTCATACCCTGTTTCCACTGCTACTAAATTGCTTGACCCTTCAGCATCCTTCAGCTCTGGTTTTCCACACTGTGTTCTCTTGCAGACATCTGACTGCACCGTCCACTCTTGGGACCGATTTTCACGACTCAGGGGCCAACGTCGCTGTTTTCAAGGCGAGATGTACGTTTCGCTCTCTCGGTCGCCGTACGATGCCAAAAATCCTACACTGCCACCAAGCCAACTGTTGATGGTTTGGTGAAACAAGGTCCTGCCATGTCCTGCCGATTGTTGGTGACATTCTTTTCGTTTTCTTCGCTTCAGACGATGGAGGGGCTGAATACTTGTGAAGATTCTTTTTCATCGGCTGGCCTTATGCTCCGATGGCGGACTCCTTTTTCGCTGCCAGGCGTGCGAGGCCGGGCACATCGCTGAAAGTTTGTGACATTGCCGACTTGAAGGACGACGCATTGGTCGAGGGCGAAACCGCATGGCTTCCATGGCAGGCCCCCGGTTGGTGGGTTTGAAGGAGGGGACATGTAGCGAAACACGGTCTCAAACTGCAAAACAGAACTCAGGAGGCGTGAACAAGCAAACACATCTGTTAAAATGCAGATGTGCTCATGATGCATGCCATGCATGCCATACTGCTGCATGAGATACCAAGTCTTTCACATACTGTACCAAGGTCCAAGCCCTGTATAGTCCTGTTGTCGAAAGCTTTCCTCTTCCAGGCGTCAAAAGAGCTTGGAGGGCAGACCGAAGCTGTTGACAGCAGTTCAGCCTGGGCAGAGCCACGTCGTTTCTTTGCTGCAAGGATTTTGTTTCCAGTGTTGCTTCCGACAGGAATCCAATGGCGCTGGTGCAAAAACATTGCATGTGGAGGTTAGCCTTTTCTTGCTGTTGCTCCAACAAATGGGTCTCGGTCCATAATAAATAGTATTAATAGACATATATATATATATCATCGTTGAAATTTCCCTTACAAAATGGGTTGTCCTAGGATCAAAATTTAGGTGTCATTTTGTAAGCAATATTTTTTGAGCCATTTTGTAGCGGTACATTTGGTGATCTTACTGGGTGGAAGGCATGCCATTTTGTAATAGACAACTTTGCCAGGATTTGCATTTTGTAAGGATTCGGCTACTTCCAAGACAAATTAGGATTTGCATTTTGTAAGAGACATAAAGCTGCTACAAAAAGCCATGCCTAGCATCACTTCCAGGTTGACTCTGACAATTGACTGTACATGAGATCAAGCCTGGCATTTTGTAGCCATTGTAGCTCAGAGAGTTCTTGCCAGCAGGACCTAGCATTTTGTAGGCGTCATGTCTTTGGATACCCAGTTGGTCTATTTTGCTTCCTGCTGTTCGCCTTTGGGATGGCTTTTGGATGCATCTTGAACCAACAGGGTCGGAAAGCAGGAGTGAAAGAAGGTTATGTGCAGAAACAAAAGGGAGTTGATGAGGAGGATGAAACTCTGCTTTTGAATCTGGCTACTCACAAAAGCAGCAAACGGCGATCTGACGTCAACGCGTACATCAGCAAGAGCAACAAAGTGCATAGCAAGAGAGATTGCAGCGAAATGGGAGAGCAAAGAATAGAAAAAAAGTGTGCGCCGTCATTTTGTAAGAAAGAAATGTGTAGCGCACACACACATCACATATCAGCACATGCATTTTGTAGCTTTAATTCTTGAAATGCTATGAAGTGCCTATGTCATGTCTATGTGTAAAAAAGTTTATCGACATGCGCACAGATATGTCTCTGGGAGCAATCATTTTGTAAGAAGTCCAATGTCTCGTGCCTCCTATTTTGTGCCTCCGGGGATCATCATGTTGTAAGAAAACAGCATTTGACAGTGGTGGCACACAGTCATTTTGTAGTAACTAGATACCTGGAAAAAAGGTACGCCTTCCATTTTGTAAGCCCAAAGCCGTTTTATATTACAAAATGGGGTATCCTAGGTCCACCATGCTAATTTCAAAGGCGATATATATATAAATATATACAATATATCAATATATTATTCAACGTCACGAGTCTTGATTTCAGATTCATCGATGTGCGGATTCGCTTGTGTTGATTTGGCTGGCTTCCAGTGAGAAGTTACTGGAAAGGATTGTGCAGGCTTTTCTCCCTGAGATTTGCTTAAGTCCACCCTTGGTTTTGCGTTGCAGAGGTTTGAATTGTGTTCAACCTTTACAAGTTCAAGTTCAACCTTTTTGCTGGTGCTGTTGAGAAACTTCTAGATGAGCTCTAGGTCTGAAGATGATGGAAGAAGAGATGGAGGAAGAACGTATGGGCCTTGGACGTCGGCACCAAAAAGCAGCGGGAGAGGCGCAGTGCGAGAGGGTGGTAAAGAGATGAAAAAAGCGATGTGCAGAATGTGCAGTTGGAATGTTGAAATCTTGCCG